AGTGGAACATAGGGTGGCTAGCACGTCTAAGTATAAAATTTCTATGATACCATACTTAGCACGTATTTTATGTGATGAAAATAGTGTCAGGCAAGAATTAACTAACCTTTTTTCATCTAGTAAATAAACAATCTCCTCCATCCATCCTTATATACCTTCAAGTTTTACTTTTATTATTTCTGTTATATTTATGGTCCTGTTGCTTCTTTGTTTTACTTTCATAATTGCAAACAACAACTTATCTATACGACTGCTGTAATCTTTGTTCTTTTCCCCTCACCATATCATGTAAAGAGAACATTATATTCAATATTTTTAAACATGCAAGGATTTGTATACCGCATCGACAATACTGTGTGAAACAAGCCCACGGCAATTTCCACTTGTATTATTATCATTACCTTAGCTGCTATCATAATTATTATTTCCATTTTATATGCTGCATGTTTTTGAGATTACCCCTATTGCAAAGGTGGAAAATTTTCTGTGTGATTAATTTTATTTATAATTTGAGGAAATTAGATGCAATATTGTGATTAATGCTGAAAATTCTATTCTGTATCACAAGTACTGTTTTTGGAATAAAGTAAATTATTATTATTATTCAAGCTAGAGGCTTCAAGTTTCGGTAGCAGTGGGGATTATTTTTACAGGAGGGGGTTGCTAGCCTCACGCCCAACCTTCCCTCTTTACGTATCTTATTACTGGCTTATCGAGGTAAAGGAGTGCGTCGGTGGCCGGAGATCAAACCCCGGACCACATCCGTGGTTAGCGAGCACTCTACCGCTGTGCTACTGAAGCACAACTTAACTTTTTTCAATCTTAATTTTAGCTCAGCTATACTCAACCTCGTCAAATAGATTATTTCATCACCCAACTTGCTTATTTAATCTTATTTTAGTTTCTAACTCACTTATGCCTTCTACATTACCTAATTTGCTATCTCATATTTACAGTTCTAATGATAAATCTTTGGAAACATTCTTTCTGTTGCTAAGACAATTTATTATATGTATATGCGTTTGTACAGGTTGAGAGTACAGGCCGAAAAGAATAACTCTTTGTTGAATGCATTTTCTTTTATATGACTCAATGGGAATTTCTATGAAGCTGTTTGTTGCACTTGGAAATGAAGGCATGAAAAAAGCGTCTGTAATAGCCCTATGAGTTTATTGAACATTCCTTGAAGAGGAAGATCCTAAGTAATCATTAAGTAAACTTCGATTACTCAATGTCTTCTATTACTATAGTGTGGGAAATGCAGACATAATCAAAACAATTTGATTATATATAGGATGGTTTATTCTATTGAAACTTTATAAGTTTGTTATAATTCACCGATTTCATCCTTATCGATTTAAGCGGTACATTAGAAACAGTTAAATTTCGACCAGAAATAAACACAAACATATGGAAAAAATACTTCAGATTTAATTGTTAAAAACAAAATTGTTTAAAACCACTTATGTTTGTGTACAATCATCACCTATTTCTAAGTAAATTATGGTGAGCTAAGTGTTGTATCAGTAGACCGATTAATTTTAAGCCGACTGAATAAAATTTATAACATTGAACCAATTGAACAAACTTTTAATTGTCTAATTTATTGTTACAGTTTCAATAGTTACAAGCAGCGCTAAATTTGATACATTAAAAATATAATCACTATGTACAGAAATTTTCACCAAAAGAGTAAACTTCACACACAAATTCATATACAGTTTTTTTTTTATTGCTTCACGTTCCCAGTGGAACACACGGCTTCAAGCTAGAGGCTTGAAGTTTAGGTAGCTGTAGGGATTATTTTTACAGAATGGGGTTGCTAGCCTCGTGTCCGACGTTTCCTCTTTACCAGCTTTATTTCTGACTTAGCGAAGTAAAGGAGTGCGTCGGTGGCCGGGGATCGAACCCTGGACCATGTGCATAGTCGGCGAGCGTCCTAACCACCGTGTCACCGACGCACCATATACTGCTTGAGTGTACATTTTGACATTTAGTAAAATTAGAGTAATTCTACCGAAGAAGCTTCGATTTTCATGGTGAAACATTCAAAAACAATTTTGTTTTAATTTTCTAAACATGTTGGAATTACTGATATAAGTAAAAAAAACTTGGGCACTGTCGCGGTAGAGTATAACACTATTATGGATAAGATTTTATTTTGATAAACTGTCACAGTGTTATACAGTAATATTAACTGAGCAATAGTTTGTGCTCAAAACGTGTTCATCAGTTAATATTACTGTATAACACCACTGTGTGATTTATCAAAATAAAATCTTATCCATAATGACGTTGGGATTACTTTTTAAATATTTTTCACCATAATAAAACTGTAAATATGGTTTAGAAACATCCGGGAAAAATTAGTTACTTGGTCAAAATCAATAGAAACCTCTTTCATCAAGTAACTCTCTTCGCAAAGTGTACTACTGACATTGATTCTATGGCGTGCACTACTGATAAGATTTATCAGTAGTATATAATGAGACGTTCATAGGCTTAAAAAATATCAAATAGCAGGGAGATAGGTTTGACATCAGAGAAAGTAAATGATACAACGTTGTGGAAATACATGGGAGACATGAAAGGAGTGCAAAGAAACACAATGTGAAGGCCAGAAGTAGCACAACACGGAAAATTTATGCAAATGGTGATTTGAAGATAAGATGACCTTAATTTTGCTACATAGCAGTACCAGAGTCCGATTAAACATTCCTTTACTAAATCTCTAGCCTACTTCCGTTAAAATTCTCTTAGGATTATGAGAATTAAGTTAAATTTGTTAGTTTCTATTAGTTGATGACGGATTGATATCAGTTGGAGAACCATTGAAAACTGTGATCAACTCATGAAAACAAAATTAATGTGATGCTCGCTAGTGACTTCCTACATGACGGAGTTTCCTGAATTTCTAGTGACAAGTCCTGACCACTGAGGTTCATGTAGTTAAGTGTAAGGATGGATTTTCCCGTCGATGACATTGGTTGGTGGTCGCGCTAAATCACGAATCACTAGAAGTTAGAATGGTATACGAGCTTACCTTGTAACCGGAAGGTCCTGGGTTCGAACCATGACAGTGGGTGAGTACTGCCGATGATTCCCAAACTAGTGGGATGAAACAGCTGTCTGGTAGTACTCCCGTGCTAGTTTTCAATGGTTCTCTAACTGATATCAATCCGTGATCAACTCGTAAAAACAAAACTAATCCTTACAAAACAACGATAGAAAATTTGTTAATGAAAAGTCAAGCTTAACACAACAACTCATGAATGCAGCTCAGAATAGATCTTGACAACTGGTCAAATAAATTACTTGCTTAAGACTGAATTGTAGGGGAATTCAGGATAGACATTGCTCTGTATTTTCGACTCGTCAACTAGATATATGTTTACCTCCATGAGTTATTGTATTCCCCACCCCCCCACACCCTCGGTCTCCGTCGTCGCCGAGGATGGAACCCAGTATCTATCATCTCAAATACCAGAAAGTTACCCACTAAACTTCTGACCTGTGAGAGCCACAAGCAGTGTATGCCATCATGTTATTTCTAACTACTTTGAGTACCATTCATGGTAGTAGAATGTATGGTACTATTAAAATACATAAGCCAGGTTACCCCATACGCCCAATAGTAGATTTCAGAAATATCCCTACTTATGAATTATCAAAACACTTAGCTCTGATGTTATGCTCCATTAGAAATCGTTCACACACTAGACTAAGTAATTCATATGAGATGAAAAATAAACTAAATGACATTCAACTAGAAAATGATGAAACAATTGTTAGTTTTGATATAAATAGTCTTTATACTAATATACCAATCAATATAGCCTTAGAAGCAGTTAAAAAAGAACTAACTGCAGATCCTGAACTCACTCATAGGACAAAGCTGCCCATCGAAGAAATTATTTTAGGAATTCAGTTATGCCACACATCCACTATTTTTAAATTCCAAGGTAAAATATATAGACAAACAGAAGGTGTAGCAATGGGATCACCGATATCCCCTATCGTAGCAGATATTTTTATGGATGAGAGCTGGGAAAATATTGCTCTTAATGCATTTAATCCTACTCCAAAGATATGGTGGGGATATGTGGATGACGCCTTCACAGTGTTAAAAAGGAACACATATAAACTCACTAGTGGAGGGAATAAAATTCACATTTGAATCGGAAAATAAACAAGGAGAATCAGCAATGTTAGATTGCAAAATAAAAAGAATAGAAGAAGGTAAACTACACATTAGCGGCGTTTATAAAAAACCAACGCATTCTAATAGATATTTAGGCTTTAATTCATCTCATCCTTTAACTGTTAAGGCAGGCTCAGTTAAGTGTCTAACAAACCAAGCAATAGCCCTAAGTAGCACAAGAAAAGACCTAAATGATGAAATAAAACAGATAGAAGAAGCGTTAGTGTTAAACGACTGTCCTATAAAATTCATTAGGAAGATCAGAAAAGGCCAAAAGCAAAATAAAAATAATTATGAAACTAATAATGATAACATAAATAAGAGAGAATATAAGGCGTCCACTGTTATACCATAAAAGGAGGGGACATCTGAGACCCTACGTAGGATTCTTAATAAAGCAGGAGTTAAAGTGGCATTCAAACCTAAAACCTCACTCAGATAGGACAAGCTGTGTAGGTTAAAGAACCTAGTTTACCCAATTAAACAAAATAATATAATTTACAAAATACCTTGAAATGAATTTGAGTGATGTTAACTACATTAGTTAATATTACTGTACAACACTGTGTGATTTGTCAAAATAAAATCTTATCCATAATGGAGTTATACCGCCACAGTGCCCAAGTTTTATACTTTTATCATTTATGGTACCAATCTAATCGTGATGTAGACATTTCAGGATTTCTAAGAAAATCGTCTTGAACTATGTGATTTGAAAATCACAAATTTCATTTTTGTTACATAAATTACAATTGAACATTGAATATCAATCATACATGAAAAACTAAAGTTAACTCACCAGTTTACTCATAGAGGCAATATAATCATCGATTGGAGGATCACTATAATCATCAATCAATATAATCTCCTCTATATTATTATTTAACATTAAATAAGTAGTACTATTCAATATACTTTCTAATGTATTTTTTAAAATTAATGCATTTTCATTATGTGAAATTATAATAATACTAATTTTTGGTATATATTGATAAATATTTGAATAATTTGTTAAGGGAATATTTAAACCATGAGATAGTGTATTCAATGTCCAATTGTTACACATTTCTGAATTGAATTGTCCGCTTTGACCGCCATATTTATCATTGTTGTTTGAATGTATCAGTGTATAAGCAGTCGTTGTTGTTGTTGTTGTCAATAGGAACAAAATACTGCCATTGATGATGATGGTGAGGATGATGTTAGGAATGAAAGCTCTAATTGACATTTTTTTTATTTTAATGCAGAGAAAGGTGTGCGATATCCTGTTTTATATTATCACACTTGTAATAGAACCAAATATTAGTCGTCTCACTGGTTCATGGTGTATTCAAATTAAATTGTTATTGAAATCGACAATCACAAACTAGACACATTTCACACTTCACTAATCTTTCATCAATAAATACACACAAAGGGGATAAAGAAGACTAATCTTCGTGTTTCTTTACAATAGTAATAATGATAATAATAATAATAACAATGAACTTCTTCAGTTTTCCAATTGTACACACACACACACACATACAAACACCCTCTCGTAGCTTTGTTAATCAGATCGGTTTCAAAATAGAACCAAGATGTGTGTTATTGTTGTTGTTTATTTGTGTCTGTGTATCGACAGTGAGAGAGTAACTTCTGATGGTCCAATCCAGGTCGACTGCACATATGTGTGCACTATAGTATTACAATGGAAATACAAATGATATTAGCAGACGAGTGCACAACACTACACACATACGCACACACACACAAATACACAGACGCACACCAATCACATAGACACACTCTACACACAAAAACAATTAAAATGTTTCAATCCAACTGGAAATAATTACTCTTAGCACTTATTTATTTAACCAATAAAGTAGAATGCTTTTTTGTGGGTTTCATCAGCAGATGACATCAGTTAGAGAGAAGTATTGAAGACCAGAGGGTAGTGGACAGCTGTTTCAGCCTAGTTTGGAACCCTTCGGCAGTAGACACCCATAGGAGTTTGAACAAAGGAGTTTTTGGTTACAAGGCGAGCTCATAGACTATCTAGCCGCCAATGAGGTTGCACGAACTGGCAAGAGTTGGGATTTATGGAACATTGGATCGGGTCCTAGTGTGAGTACAGTGCCTTGTGGCTCTTATTTATTTTGTATATCTATGAGTTAGTCCGTGCTCACCGAATTCCCCATAGTCCTACATTCAAATGACTTAAAAATTCGGATGGAGCTGAAGGGCAACCTCAAAAAATTATTAGAGTGATCCAAAGAATGGATGTTCCCCATCAACGCAGAGAAATGCGCAACTATGCGCGTCGGACACGAAAGCATCAGGCCCTACGAATTAGAAGGAATAACACTCCAGTCATTTCAGACTTATTTGGATTTAGGTGTCATTGAAAGTCACGACTTAAAAACTACAGCACATTACTGTGTGGTGACAGCACGTGGTTTCAGATTCTTATGGGCAATTGGCACAGCCTTCACTAGAATCACCAGAGATATGTTCACCTCCTTATATACATCTCTGGTGAGGTAAAAACTGTCTCAAATGAGACTGACATATTCCAGAAAGGGTTCAAAGGAAAGCATGACTAATTTATCATATGAGGAAACATGTAACAGTTTTAATTTCTTCTCCCTGTCATACTGAAGGCAGAGAGAAGATCTCATTACAATATTCAAAATTTTAAATAATGACTACACACCTGATCAATTCTCTCTTTTCCTCCCCATCAGGTTAGAACACCTCTTAGAGGACATAGCAGGAGAGTTCAAAAGCCACGAAGAAACAATATTTCTGTGGACAATTGATTCTCACACCGAGTTATCAACTCCTAGAATCGACTTCCAGAAGAAGTGATGTCGGCGCCCTCAACTGACTCATTCAAGAAGAGTCTGGACTCACATTGGCTTAAAACCTTCCATCCTCAATCAACAAATTTGAATCTGTGACCGAAATGTTCTGGGTTCTGACAAAGAGTCCACAACTAGAATGAAATAACTGTTCAGTACTCCGCAGGCTTGCCACTGCTTCGCCGAATGATGTCAGCTGACGATTAAACTTGTAACCAATAGAATCCCTGCAAAACAATACTTGAAACTTTAATTCTTTTGCTTTCATCAGTGGTCATTATTTTCCTACAAAATTTTATAATAAAACAGGACAGATTTTAGATTCAAAAGTGAAATAAAGTTATGTTTTGTCAAGAACTCATCTGTCCGTATGTCTGTCTGTTTTCGACATAGAACTTCACACCGATGTGCAGCAGTTCAAGTCGCCACTCTCCCTCCATGTAGCACACAAAGCAAGAGAAGAAAGTAAAAAGGAATGCAAAATAGAGACAGTAAACAGAGATACGAGGCAAAAGAATAGTAATATCGAAGAACAATATAGTTTTTTATTGGAAATTATGTCACAAGGAATGGATACATCGGCGCCATCACTGAGAACGATTTTGAGCCATATCACCAATTGTCTTCAGCCTTCGTTGGTTCTTACTGTCCCAAGGACCCCAGCCAGTTAGGAAGTCTACACCTTCCTACGTGGCTTAAACTAACTGTCAAAAAGAACTCATATTATTATTGAGATAACTATTATAAACTAAATGAATTCAAAACTTCTCTGAGGTTTCCAAAAACTTATGATGATAAAAGAGATTGAGTTCAGTCAAGACAATTAAATTCTCATTGAATACTTTATAATTTAGGTGTCATTCTTCAAAACTGATCCCTAGAAGTACTACCTCAGGCATAAAATGGACCCAGAGAAAACAAACTTGGAGGATCTGGAATTCGCCGATGATATTTGTCTGATTTCTCACAAACTGGAAGATATGCAAGTGAAAAGCAACAAGTTGGCGATAGAAGAAGCATCCAGAGAAGATGTGACTTCATGTGAACATAGAGAAAACAGAGGTGGTGAATATTCCTGGCCAACACCACCAACAACAACAACAGACAACAATCAGCCAGCATAAATGGGATAAATCTGAAAGAAGCAACCTCCTTCACCTACCCACTACCTACCTATCTGGGAAGCATCGTTTCAACTACAGGCGGAAGGAACTGATGAGGATATTGAAGCGAGAATTGGGAAAGCAAGTCAAACTTTCATTACTCTGAAATCTGTGTGGAGATCAACAGCACTACTCTGCATCAAAAATAAGACCCGGATTTTCGACTGCAATGTGAAGTCAGTGCTACTCTACACGGATCAGCGACTTCGAGCCGCGTCAAGATGGGCACTTCGAAAAAACTACGGACCTTCATCAATAGCTGTCTTCGCTCAATACTACTCAAGATCAGATGGCCAGCCAGAAAAGATCAGCAAGAGGGATCTCTGGCGATGAACGGACCGACCAGGAACCGATCGTGCAATAAATATGCAGGAAGAAATGAAGGTGGATTGGATTGGCCATACTCTGAGAAAGCAAACTATCATCAAGTGACATCACACTCCAGGATATCGCTTGAGTGGAACTCGAACGGGAAGCGGCGAGTTGGTCGTCATTGCAATGGTGACATGGAGGATGTTATGTGAAAAGGAAATGAAAGCATGTGGGCACACGTGGAGCCACGTGAAAACGTTGTCAGAGAACCGAAAGCAATGGAGACGTATGGCTAAAGCCCTATGTTCCTCTAGGAACTAAAGGAAACAATAACAATAATATTATAATAATCTTCAAAACTATTATCACGATTATATATCCTTCGAGTTCCGATTGAAACAAAAAGCGTCAACTGCATATTTTCGTTGCGATTAGGTCTTTGCCATTATTTTCAGCTGGCTCCATAACTTCTTGCAGACATTTATTTCCTATTCATATAATCTTCTTCTGCCCGATTTATCGTTCCCCACTTAGGGTCCCACTTTGATGACGATGTCAAAGTCAGAATCGGAAAGGTAAGATATGCCTTTTTCAACCTGAAACCAGTTTGGAAATCTTCCGCACTAACTCAGCATAAAGAACAAAATCCGAATTTTCAGCACCAATGTCAAGTCGGTCCTTCTGTATGGGTCAGAAACTTGCACTGCGTTTCAGTCACGAAAAGGATTTCCAACAGCCTACTGCATACTTTTACCAACAGCTGCCTTCACTGGCTCCATAATGAAGATCAAATGGCCGGCCAGAAAGAATTAGCGACAAGAAACTGTGGCTGGCTGACAACAAACCAACCAACAGCCGATTTCTCAACAAATATGTAGGGGAAAATGGGAATGCATCGGGCACACATTGAGTGGAATCCGAATAGGAAGCGACGAGTGGGTCGTCGGTGCGAGGGTGACATGGAAGAGATCGTGTGGCGAGGAGGAGATGAGAGATTACAATCAATCGTGGAGCTGTGTTGTTGAAGCCCTATGTTCCACTCGTAACCCCAGGGAAATGATATTATTAATATAACTATCGATCTTCCTAAATGTCCATCACTTCAGCTGTATGTAATGGTTTAAAAATGTTCTGCGTGAACCAGCACTCTAGAGCAGATAATTATATTTCTGTAGTGGTTTGTAATAAGGTTCAATATCAATATTTCAATTTATTTAGTATTCCACACGTGGATGTACATACACATTCATTCTTACAAGCATCTGGATGTCATTCACTGATCTATCTATGAATGCATGACAGATATTTTTGGCTATCATTTCTGTATGCTGTTATTTTCCTATTGGTCAGAACTGATGAGTCTATATACTCAAACTCATATAATATTCCACACTAAGAAATGAAGATAAATATGGCTATCTCAAATAGGGAGGTTTATTAGTACAAGAAATAACTAGTGTGTACCTTTGAAAGTAGATGAATTATATTTAACTCATAAATAACTATTGATTAAAAATCAATCTGAACGAGGAATATTCTTTTCAATAAGTTCTCCTCTTCAGGCGCTTACAATTATAAAATATAATACATTTGTTGTCGTTATAATAATGAAAGCCAGTTAGTTATGCGGCGGAAACATTTTTAACGTAGAATAACAGATTATTAGTTATTGGTTGTCAAAATAAATAGTCGTATTTGTGTGACAAAGGTTATTATTATTATTTCCTTGGGTTCCTAGTGGAACATAGGGCTTCAACTACACGCCTCCACTTGCTTCTGTCTTCTGCTGTACTTTTCACCTGCATCCATGTTAGTCCATACTGTTTCAACTCCTCCTCACACGATCTCCTCCATGTCACCCTCGCACAGATGACCCACTCGCCGCTTCCATTTCGGGTTCCACTCGAGCTATGGCCTGACGCGCGATGTCACCCAGTGGTCTCCTCAGCGAGTGTCCAATCCATCTCCACTTTCTCCTGCATATTTGTTGGGTGATTGGTTCTTGTTTTGTTTGTCCCCATAGTTTCTTGTTGGTGATTCTTTCCGGCCATCTGATCTTCAGTATAGAGCCAGCGAAGACAGTTGTTGATGAAGGTCTGCAACCTGTTGGCAATATTCCTTGTGACCTGCTAAGTTTCTGATCCGTATAGAAGAACTGACTTGACAAACGTCATGCTAGGCTGAAATCGATTACAAAATATTTCGGTGAAATGGGAGACAAT